TGAGTGGCCCAGTACCAAAGGTGTTCGCGTACGGATCAAGAACAGAACTTCCTTTATTGGGCAAGTTTTCTGCTGAACTCTACTAGAAGGACTCCAAGATACAAGATACCATATTGGTGACAAGGACGCCAAGTGAGTCACTGTTGTGCTTCAAGTCAGCCGAAGCTCTGGGACTTGTCTCAATCGTGTGCAAGGGTTCTCCCTCGCAGAGCATCCAAGAGATGTATCCCAAGCTATTCAGAGGACTAGGAAAGCTCAAAGGAATTGAAGTGAAACTGCACATTGATCAATCAATTCCACCAGTGGCACAGAAGCTACGGCCCATCCCGTTCAACATACGTGAGGTGGTCACAAAAGAGATACGGCGACTGGAGGAGCTCGATGTGATCATGAAAGCCTCGGGCCCCACTACATGGGTCTCTCCCATCGTCATCGTGCCAAAGCCACATGCACCAGACACTGTTCGGATGTGTGTAGACATGTGCCAAGCAAACCAAGCCATCGACAAAGAGCGGCATGCATCCCCGACGCTGGATGATCTTGTCACAAGCCCCAATGGCGGATCTGTATTCTCGAAACTAGATCCCAACGACGGATACCACCACCTAGTATTGCACAAGGACTCGAGACACATCACAGTGTTTGCAACCAATATTGCACTCTACCGATACAAGCGTTTGAGCTTTGAAATTAATGCTGCTGCAGAGCTGTTCCAGAACACGGTCCGACAAGTGCTCGTTGGCATCCCAGGAGTCATTAACATCAGCGACGACTTCTTAGTGTATGGAAGAACAGACCAAGAACATAATGACTCAGTAGAAGCTGTGCTACGACGCCTCAGGGATTGTGGACTCACACTCAACCCGAAGAAGTGCTCTTCTTCTCAGCGAAAGGAATACAAACTGACCCGGCAAAAGTCCAAGCGTTTCTTGACATGGCCCCACCAAACAATCCAGCAGAAGTGAGGAGCCTTCTGGGCATGATCACCTATTCGGGAAGATTCATCCCCAACCTGGCAGACCTCACCGCATCTCTTCGCAACCTCACAAGGAAAGATGTTGACTGGCAGTGGATCATGGAGTATCAGGGAGCGCTGGACAAGCTCAAGGACACACTCACAAGCAGCTACGCCCTTGCCTACTTTGACAACAAGAAGAGCACCCACCTAACTGTGGATGCAGGTCCGCAAGGTCTAGGAGCCATACTAGCACAGGGAGATGGTGACAAACTCCAAGTGATCGCCTATGCAAGCCGTAGTCTGACGGATCCGAAGCGCAACTACTCCCAGATAGAAAGAGACCTTGGCTGTCGTGTGGGCAATCGAACACTTCAATGTGTCTGATTGCACACACGACTATCTGTATGGGACTCAATTCAACCTTCACACTGATCACAAGCCCCTGATCAGCACTCTGACCAGCCACGTAGCCAAGGGGTGTGGGCCCATGGGGCCCGGCCCGGCCCCGGCCCCGGCCCCGGCCCCTCCCCCTTACCCTCCCTCCCTCCCTCCCTCCCTCCCTCCCTCCCTCCCTCCCTCCTCCCTCCTCCTCCTCCTCCTCCTCCTCCTCCTCCTCCTCCTCCTCCTCCTCCTCCTCCTCCTCAATCTCATTTTTGCTGGGACCTCCTCTCCCCCCTCCCCGTCATACAGCATTTTGTCATGGACGGGCCCCCCCTGAAACGAAATCCTGGCTCCGTGCCCGATTCTGACCAACCCTTCTGCACGACCATCTGAAGAATCGAGCATCTCTGCCTGAGGATTCAGCTCTACAACTTTGCAGTACATCATCAAAAGGGCACAGAGAATCCATCTAACTACATGTCACGCCATCCACTGAAGTTCACTCAAAATGGTTACAGGACAGATAATTCCTGATGAGTATCTTCTGTTCCCGTCACAGGCAGCAATACCAAAGGTAATAACGACAAAACAAGTAATCGAGGCAGCGACAAAAGACTCAACGTACTGTCAGCTGCAACAAGCCATTCAAGCCAAGGGTGCAGAGAGACATCTCCTGTGGAGTGCTACCACACTCAAACCCTACAGACACCATGAGACACAGCTTGCCATGACGCCCGAGGGCATCATTCTTCGAGGCACAAGGATTGTGCTGCCAGCAGGTATCCAGCAACGTGCCGTTGAACTTGCGCACAAAGGCCACATGGGCATCGTAAAGACCAAGCAACTCCTCCGCACCTCGGTGTGGTTTCCCAGGATGGACACATTGGTTGAACAAGCTGTGCAAAACTGTATTCCATGCCAGGCCTTTACATGCGCATCACATCATGATCCTGAGGAGCCGACACCTCTCCCTCATGGGCCATGGGAAAACCTGTGTATCGACTTCGCAAAACCGTTTGAGAATGGCAAGTATCTGCTCATTCTTACTGACTCGCGCTTCCCATTGATGGGACATGTAGCCTCGACAAATGCGACCTCAACTCTGCAATTCCTGAGACGAACATTCGCTGAAATGGGTATCCCTAAACAAGTCAAGAGCGACAATGGGCTGCCTTTCAACTAAAGCGAGTTCAGGGAGTTTGCAGCAGAACTGGGATTTAAACATCACAGGGTGACACCACTTTGGCCCGAAGCCAACGGTGAGGCAGGGCGCTTTGTTCAAACCTTAACCAAGGCCACCAAGGCTCCGCCTGTCCAGGGAAGAGATTGGATGCAGGACATAGATGACTTCTTGATGTGCTACAGAGCAACCCCACATGCCACAACGAAGAGATCTCCGTACAAACTTCTCTTTGGCAGACAGATGCAGACGATACTACCACGACCCCCAGACAACGGAGTGAACCAGGACTTCAATGTGCGTTAAGATGACGGGCCACAAAAAGGATATCTAAGATATACATTGACGAGCGATGACACACCTGGCAACACTCATTGAAACAAGGGGATATAGTACTGTGCAAACAAAAGAAGCAGAACAAACTAACGCCATACTTCGACCCAGACCCCTATGTGGTGGCAAAAGTTCAAGGATCGAAGATCACGGCGAGACGACGAGAGAGAGACAACTCGAAACGCAAGTCTTAGAAGATAAACGCTAACCTAAAGTGACACGAGAAAGAGGACAATGAAGATGACTCCATCCTCCAGCTGAAGACACCCCAGAGCATGCAGGGCAAAACATCGGAACGGCTGAACAAGACAACCGTCAGGAGGCAGCCAGTCAACACCCTGCCAGAGCTTTAAGAGGGCTAAGGCCCCCACACTACAGGAAATGAGAGCAAACCGTTAAAAGTGTTGAACACCATTTGTATTTAATTTTTACCTTTCTTTTTTTTTACACCACGCCTAAGTTGTTTGCTTCAGTCATTAAGGTAGGAGGGAATGTTGTGTTTTAATTTCAGTTCCGATATTCTAGCAAGCCATTATGTAAGCCAAAGAAAGGCAAGCGAATCCAAGAAAAAATCTATTCGGCAACATAATAAAAGATGGTTATCAGTTTACACAACTGGCCTTTTCTTTCTGGTTTAAATCACCTGACACAACAAGACCCACGGAGGTATTTCATGGGTAGCCAAAATGGACCTTTTTCGAGTAACGAGCGCCATCTGGGGTGTTGTCTGCGAACTGCACTAGAAGAGCAGCCCAACATGCCTCTGCCCATCAAAACACATTGGCATCGTGCCGTTGTATCGGTTTTCAGCGCTTTTTTACACCCCATACTATCGATACTAAAGAACAAAGTGCCAAAATAGACTAAATACGCGCGAAGATAGAGGCTGACAATGTTGTTGTCGCCATTTTGGCAGGGTACCTCGTCATGGTGTCCTGCGAAAATGGAGACAGCGGGATGGTACGCATGCGCAGAAGCTTACTGGAAAAAGGTCTATTGGGCATGCCCTTGCATAGTCGAGGTGGGACCCACGGGTGTATTGCATGGGCATCCTAAGAGGGCATGTCCTTGCTTTGCCCACACCAACTTTGCATTCACATAGCCGAGATGGGACACACAGGGGTCGGGCAGCCCGAATCTGGCATGCCCACTTTGCACCACAGTGAGACCCAAAGGGCTACTTAGGGGCTGTCCTATATTACTTTGCCCACATGGACCCTACTTCGGGTCACTTGCGAGCGATCGTTTCCTGCAAAGCAAGGGAGCCGACCAACAGTGGACCGATATTCGAATCTGTGCGATCCATGCACAGGGAAGTGATCTCCGATGATCAGCTATCGCACGTCCAATGACGCTCTGGTTTCTACGTCGAATCGCAGAAAAGCAAACCTGCCGTGACATTTGATCCCAGTTTTAATACGGAAATCAGATGCATATAAGTAATCAAAGCTTAGGTTTTTTAGAATGCCTTAATGAGTTAGGTAATAGACTGAGTTAGGACTATAACTAGACAATCTCAGAAACCATTTTAGTGTGCTGGGATCAAACCGCACGTTACTTGAAGATGCATATGTGAGCACTGTGCTCATAGATTGCTCTCCCAAAAAGAGACGTACACATTGTGACACTGTTAGCCCATTTTATTAGGAAAGAGTATTAGTGGGCACACAATTTTACCAGCTATATTAAAGCCCTAAATGAGCTCTTTCTATAAAAAAATAATATCTTTGATGACAACCATTTGGTTCTAAGAGAAAAACAAAAAAAATTGGCGATCGCTTGTTCGCACTAACAGTGTCACGCTCTGTACACAAACAATTAAGAATTCTAGAAAGGCACCACAATCAATGTTGCATGTCTCCTTCTATTATTAGGATTTGGTGGCAGTTCTTCGCAACCAAATGCTTGACCTGAATTTAGGATTCAGTTTTAAGATAATGAAAGAAAATGCAATCTTAGAACTACACTTTTGGCTAGATCCCTTTTTTGAGGCAGCTCTCCAATTACATGAAGGTCATCACCTGCAAGCAGTGGTCAATGACTTAGCATTATGAGTAACAAGGATAAAGAAACAAAAATTAAATGTATTAGAAGATGAAAAACGTGACAAAAGTTATTCACATAGGTGTAATAAAACTTGCTACTCACCAAAAGCCAAAGGAGCCATACATAATTTGATATGAGTGAGAGTGTTTGAATAGATGCAGTCAAGATGATCAAATCTTTCAAGTGCCTGGAAGACATAAAAAGCCAGTTCCTTTCAGAAGTTGCAAATATACTCATATTTGGATAGACAAATGCTCATGTTCAAAATTGTGAATACTATCACGCAATGACACTGATGACTGATAACTCGGGTACATTTTATTTTTGCGTTTAATTTTTAAGGATGTGCACCAAACTCCGATGCCAATATGTCGCGCACCGGCACAAGATCTGAAAGCAGCGATCAGCAAACCAGGAACAATTTAGAGGAATTTTCAAAGGAGAACTCCAGCAACAATATTAATGTTTTCAACGAAACATATTTTCTGAAAGAGCACAAGAAACTGAATAGAGGAGCAAATAACTTTCCCCAAAGCTCGTTAAATAATTTTGAATTGTAGAAATACAATAAAACTGAAGCCGTGACATAACACATTAATATCAGCACATCGGCAGTTTCAGCCTGTTTCACCCAGCGTCAGAAACCGTCAGAAGGCCACCGCGATCGTCTGTGGGAAACAATGAACTATGATTCTTCAAGCTTGTCTGAGTCAAGCAATGACCAGCAATGTTTCAACATTTTCAGCACAAGATCTCAGACAATAGATGGGCTGAAATTGTCTTCTTCTTCAGGAGTGGACGGCATTAATTCAAAATTTCTTAAAAGCACCAAGTTATATTCTTCAATTATTCTTGCTAAATTATTCGAACAGTCACTCCAAGAGGGTGACCTACCCTCGGACTGGAAGGTGGGGAAGGTGGTCCCTATTCCAAAAGCTGGTGACAAACATTCTCCTCATAACTATCGTCCCATTTCGTTAACCAGCATCCCATGTAAACTTCTCGAGCACATCATATTTTCCCATCTTGTAAACTTCCTAGAACTGAATAATTTTTTCACCACAGCTCAGCACGGATTTCGTAAATCCTTGTCATGTGAAACTCAGCTTCTATCTTTCACTCACGACATTCATTCTCTCATTGACCAAGGCTCCCAGGTGGACTGCATCTTCTTGGATTTTGCAAAAGCTTTTGATAAAGTGTGTCATAAACTATTACTATTGAAACTTGCTAAACTTAACATTGACCCTAACGTTCTTGCATGGATTCATTCTTTTCTTACTAATCGTTCGCAATTTGTAACAGTCAATAATGAAAACTCTCCACTTGCGTCAGTAAACTCTGGTGTTCCCCAGGGGTCTGTTCTAGGCCCCTTACTATTCTTAATTTATATTAACGACCTACCAGTTAATATGTCATCATCCGTCTGTCTCTATGCCGATGATTGCGTAATATACCGTGAAATCCGAAGTAACCAAGACACGCTCACACTTCAGTCTGATATTAACTCTGTGTCTCGTTGGTGTGAGTTGTGGCTAATGAAACTAAACACTAGTAAATGTAAACACATGAGAGTAACCCGTCAGTTTAGTGAGAGTCCTTCTTACTACCTTGATGGCAACTCCTTGGAACAAGTGTCGTCATACAAGTATCTTGGTGTTAACTTAACTTCTAACCTTTCATGGAAACCCCATATAGAATATGTCACTAATCGTACTAACTGCATGCTGGGTTATTTAAAACGGAATTTTTTTTTAGCACCTGTTTCACTTAAATTGGTCCTCTATAAAACATTAATAAGACCTAAGCTTGAGTATGCAGCATCCATCTGGGATCCCGATCATATTACCCTCATCACTGCTTTAGAATCCATTCAAAATAGATCAGCTCGTTTCATTCTATCGAACTATCACCGCACCGCCAGTGTCTCGTCAATGAAGAATAATTTATCTTTACCATCTCTTTCACTTCGCCGTAAAATTTCACGCTTATGCCTTTTTCATAAAATTTATTTTCATAATCCCCTATTACGCGACCATTTCATAACTCCCCCCTATTACATCTCGCCTCGTGTAGATCACCAGCACAAAGTTGGAGTCCCAAGCTCATTAACCAACACATTTCATTCATCTTTTCTACCACGCACAGCTCAAGAATGGAACCACCTTCCCGGTTTAATTGCTGCCATAACAGACTCTAATCTTTTTCGAAGTGCCATAAATAACCATTTTTGCGCTGATTTCTGACCTGTTTGTTCACTTTTTATTTGTTTTAGTATTGCTGAATTGTTATATTTTCCCTGCCTACGCTCTCCCCCTCTGTAATGCCTTCGGGCCCTGAGGGTACAATAAATAAATAAATAAATAAATAAATAAATTCGTCGTAACATCTGATCTGCTGTCACCGCCTCCAAGGGGACCACCCGTCATGGCTGCATTTGCGGTTTTCCGACATTTGGACCCAGGTGTCACTTCAGAAGCAGAATGGTATGGAAAGTTTTGTTTTCTGGCACAGTGCAAACTGTTTTCTAGCAAGACACAAACATTGGGAGCCAGCATTTGCATCGGACCGCTCAGACCCACTTCCATCACAGACTTCTCGGTCGGTGAGATGTCACTCTGCTGCATTTCCTCGTAGCGTTACTGCACCCGATAGCATGACACCCATACCCCCCCCCCCCCTCCATCGCACGCTGCAGATAGCCAAACCAGAAAAAACCTACAAAACCACAAATCTTTATTAAAATTGCTACAGCTTTACATTCATAGTATTAAAACAAAGCCAAGCTTAAAAAAGCATATGCATAACTTTCATGCAAATGTTGTGGAGGAACAAACCTCTGCTTAGAACTACAGCCCCATGTGCAATCTCAGTGAACGCAGCATCATCAACATGGATGACATGCTACATATTGGGTGTGTTAACCAGTCTGCAAATGCAGAACATTTTGGGACCAGTGACATGTCTATACAAAAATTACTTTAGCAAACATAACCCTCAGGTGCTAATGTTTTAATGCATTAGCACTAGTACCAACACATGACAGGGAAAAGCTGACGGCATCCATCTCTGGACAAAACAACAGAAAGAGAAGTGCACCGCATAGAGAGGAGGAGAGTAGTAAAGGAGAAAGGCGAGAGGGAGGTGATGTCACAAGGCGAAAGCCAATGTGCGCGCGGGCGCGGCAAGATGAGAGTGGGGAGACGTCACGGGGCAGAAGCCAATGCACGTACGGATGCTGGGGCGAGTCTGAGCTTGCAGGTGTGCGGAGCATGTGTGCCTTGGTTTGTGCAACAAAACGGAGTGTGAACTGAGTAGTAGCGCTGGTTAAAGTAGGCGGCAAAAGAAGACAAACTCTGAACAAAGGAGATGGGCAAAACCGGTGAACAGCGAAAGCAGCGTCGGGCAGCGGATGCCGCTGCTAAGCTGCAAGGCAGGCGAACGAGAACCCTCAAGGCCGGAAAAAATTAAAGAAAGATTCATTGGGGGATCTTTAGGGCATGCGTTAGACTGACTCTCGGGAAAGGCCATGCACGTCCCCCTTTCGGAATCGCAAACACTGACTCCGCAACGGGGCCAAAAAGAGGCAGCGAAAAATAGAAGCAAAAGAGAAAGCCAAAACAGAAAAGTGAAGGGGTCAGTGCTAACGTTTCCCAAAGGGTCGTGCAAACACATTACCTAAGGATTCATCGACGGGTTTTCTTTATATTTCTGCTTACCACTACCTTTATCAGTGGCAACTTAACATGCCACCCCTTAAGTACATGGACGAGGTCCATGACAGTTATACCTCAAGTCTCATTTGTTTTTTATGCAGTTTTATTTTTGACATCAGAGAGAGAAGGGATATTGGCAGCCATTTGGCACTGACACTATATTCTCTTTTGTACCCATGGAACTGATCACATGGCAATAACTTCCCCTCATACCCACCGGGTAAGATAGCTGCACTGATCAGCAAACAGGCCCAAGGGCACTGACAACTGAGTGAAAAGATTCTGCACATCATTTTTTTTTTCAAATGCGCTACAGATGGAACTTTTTAGCATTGCATATTTGCATAGATTTCGTGAGTATGAATACTAAGTAAGCACAAGCTTCAACATTGACATTCTGTGCACTGGAATGGCATATTTCAACACTGGAGAGTGAGATAATGTGCCAAAAATATTTAGGAAAGGTATAGAGTGCAGCAGCGTCCATTACCCGGGTGCCACAAAATAAACCAGCCTTTTGTAAAAACATACCAAATGTCAGTGATCAAGTAATGCCAGAGAGGTGGAAAGCAGCTCTTCCCCGTTACGAAGGTGTAGACGACAACAGGGGCATGGCAGACACGACCACCTCGTGCCAGGCCCCATGTGCTGGCCTGGACTTCATAAATCCTTTGTCTCTTCTACCGTCATGTCCCATCCTTTCTGCCGCCGACAGCACCATCCTATTGGTATGGTGGCGATGCCAAGCCATCTTCAGCACACGACAAAACAGCATGCGACAAAACAGCCTGGTAAAAACAGCACTGCGTCAAGACAGCACTGCGTCAAGACAGCACAGCGACAAAATAGCATGCGTCAAAATACCGTATTTGCACGAATATAACGCGACCACGAATATAACGCGAGGGCAGTTTTTGATGCCCCCAAAAAGAAAAAAAAATATTATTACTATTATAACGCGAACCGATGCCGCGTCAATTTCTCGCACTCGGTGGCATAGCAGAAGTGAAAAGTCAATGGAAATAGAAGAAATATCAGTTTATGTTCTGACTGCACTCATCCTCACTGCTCAGGTCCTTCCGTTTACAATCCACTTGGCGACTACGCAGGTATGCAGCAGCACGGCACCTGCTTGTCTGGTAGTTCTTTTTTCTTCCGTGGGAGCTCCTCGGCAGCCCACAATCCAAACAAGGCGCGGAAGCAGAAGCACCAACACACAAACACCAGACCACTCTGGAGCAGGAACTAAACAATGCGCAGGCAGAGAAAAGACAGCTGAACCCGATACACGATCGCACTTCTTGTTCTGGTCCCTCTTAGTAAACAAATGCCTCGTGTTGCACGATTGCGTAAACGCGGTCGGTGGTCTTGGCTTGGCTTGTGTTGACTTGACTTGGCCCGGCTTGGCTTGGCTCGAATTGGCCGGTGCCCGCATTCCCGCATGGCGCGCGCGCGTGCGGCGTGTGCGGCG